AAATACATAAACCAAACAATGACTTTGCAAATGACCAAGAGAACATTTGCATGAGGTAAAAACATCACAACATGAAACTGTGATGAGCGACATCAAACATACAGAGGTCAAGAAAAATGACAGTGTTGTAGTTTCTCAGTTGTCTACATACAGTATGTGTGATGTACAGATAAAAGTCATTTAAATCACTTGCGTTTGGTGAACACACGATGTATTTATGATCTGACAGAAATGCAGTTTGAAAGGTAGAGTTGAAAAGGTGTTTGAATATCTCAGTACTTACTCCATTGATTTAATAAGCTATTCATATGCATCCTGTGGACGATGGAACAAGCGCAGAGGTCTCTGTGCAGAAACTGAGGAGGAACCACATACAAGCAACAACAGATAAGCAACAACGCAGACACAGGACAACACATGTCAAGCAAGCAACACTGAAAGCTGAAGACTGGTATGACATGATGAGACCATGTTTAATGCATGCTTCAAATAAGTCCCTCATCAGTTTAATTCCACATGTGCTTTGGAAAGAACATGCATTTTGAGAAAGCTTCCACCTGTTGTATTATACTATATAAGGTCCATACAATTATATGATGGTGATATATTTAAAGAAAAAGAGTGCAGACAGGTATGCTCTCATGCCAAATACACAAATCAATAGTGATGTTACTCATAGTGCTGCCCTGATGTGGCCAACGCAGTATTAACCTGGAGGCAGCATGTTTGAGCTCAATGCCAGATGGAATATTTAAGGTAATAAAACTAGATTTTGTCAAAAGGCTCTTTACAGAACAAAACAATAAGTTAAAGATGAGGTACAATGCAGGAGCCCCACTATAAAGGCCTGTGTCCACAAGCGGCTTTTTGCACTGGCAGCATTTTTTTTTTCCTACAACCTAGTTTAGGGTTGAAAGAACTCAACGTCTTTGTCATAAAAACAACAGTGTACAGCAGTAGCTATTTTGAAACTTGAAAACAGTTCAACTTTTAGTGCATGAACACGCTTGGCTGATATTCTCATTAACCTATTGAAATCAAGAAGAGGACTTACGATATCAATAGTTTAATAGTTTAAATCAAGTTTGTGGTGAGATGTTGACATCTGGGGGTCTGGATGCCATTTTTCTGCCTCCTCGTTATTACTTTAATCAGGGAAAGGTTTTATCAAATCTGAATCCAGTTGTGAATGTGCTTTTCAAAATCCCAATTCTTTCAAATCCTTCATTAGATCTTGTAAATTGTTTGGATGAAGACTTAAACTTAGATTGAACTCATAGCAGTCTGTAGCTTCCTCTAATGACATTAACAACACAATGATATTTGTAATATAGACACAAAGCACCTGACTCTGGTTTCAAGTATGGTAATATTTAAACCATTGACAATCTGCTGGGCTTTCGCCAGATATTTTTTCACCACTCATTAATTCATTAACTCTGCCCTACTTCATGTCTTTCAACAGCCATAAAAGTGTATTACACATTGCATAAGATATCAATTCTACTATATTATTTCATACATATGAATCAAATGAACCCCTGGTATTTACTTAATAGAACTTGACGTTGTGGATAACTACACTAGGTCACAGAAAATAGTTTATCACCAGCAGGCTGAGCATTGGTCCTTCTGAAGTTACATTTTTTACGTTTTAATCAACTTGAGAATTAAAGGCCAGTGTGCCATGTTTATTGAGAACAGTGTTGCTTAGTTATCACGTTCTCCAGATTGGGAACCACTGCATATGTACAGTCTGTTGTATAATCCTCTACACATAAGGATTTATGGTTCTTCGCCTGTGCAGCAGACAGTTTAAAACAGAGGAAAACAATAGTGTACTTACATAGATTCAGTCCCAGTGTTGTTGTGGGTAGAAGAAAGAGAGGACTAAGTTCTAAACTGATGAAGAAGTATGATGCATCATATATCCGTGTGCTGTGTGTGTGCAGCAACTATAACAGCTCTGTGGGGCTGCAGCTCTTTGTGCTGTGGGTGTGCAGCTGAATCCAGGCTGCGGATCCACACAAGTGCATGCTTGGTGGGTTGTCTTAGGAACCATGAGCACGTCGGTGGGTGTAGCTCCACCCACGGGAGGAGGGTGTGTGTGTGGGGGTAGAGCTGAGCAGCAGGCAGGCAAAGTCTGTATGATAAAATATATGGGTGCTTTTGACTTATTTATCTCTAGCTTCCCTAAAACATATGCACTAAATCATTCCTACACACTAGGACTCCGTTTCATCATAACCTGGAGAAGCATATCATGGGTTTGCCAACAGAGGAGAAGAAGAAAACAACAATGAAAAGCCTTGTTGCTTATGTGCTTTCAGTTACTGAGCTGAAACTTTGTAGACTGTGATGGATCTGTTCACACTGTGCATTCACACTCTAAAAGTCCCATTTCATGTTGGAGGACATTACCATATTACTGCACCGGCAATAATAATTATTATTAGATGGCATATAGATTGTATTATTTCTCTTTGTGGATCCTCTCAGAAACCCATCAGGCTCCCACTCAAGGAATAACAGTAGCGCCCTTAATATAATCTAAACATTAGTATAAGGCCTCGTAATGAAAATAATAAATAAGGTACTGTCTGCTCTGAAAGCTGTTTGTGCTGATGAGAAGTATCTCGATGCAGCACAGGGTGGGAGTGTTCTGAACAATGTGAAGCTCTGGCCCAGAGCTTAAACTCCCACTCAGTCAGTGAATAGACTCGAACAGAAGGCACAAAAACAACAGACAAATGGACACAGTATGGAGAATGGAGGAGAGCGTTACATGGCTGAATTAGAGCCGCTGAGCTCTGTATTACTTTAATATGTACAGTAAGTAAGTGCACATGTGCACTAGCATGATGCAGCTGTTTTTACACCTTCAACTAACATATGAGCTAAACATTTTTCAGGCACATGTTCCAACACTTTATTTTGCTTTTGACACCTTAAAATAATGTGTACTCCAATTCAAAACTTTGTGACCTGCTATGGTTGTGAGCAGGTCAACCAAGCAATGATTTGTAATCACAGATTCAGTCTATATTTTTGGACCTATTGATGGATAGGATGGCAACCACTGCTTTAAAGTGAGTCCAGTGAATAGTATAGGCTAATCAGAAAGGTAAACGTATCAGTGTTGTTTCTCTGGTCTAACCAAAACCTCATATGGAATCATGTCTGTTTTATTTTCACTGTTAGTTATCAGTGCTAGCCTGTGTTTGGTGTTTTGGGGCCTGTTTTGGACAAAGTTACAATTACATTTTCTTTAAATAGGCTTGGTTAATTAGTTTATGGCAATTATGAGGCACTGCAGGTCATGAGTTCACTGAAGCTCTTGATAATTAAAGGGGAACTCCACTGATGTCACACTTATAGTCAACTTGTCATGGGGACCTGTGCTCACCAGAGGAAACAGTTGTATCATGCTAAATGTGACTAGAGGAGATTTGTCACATCTAAATAAATATTTACACAACATTACTAAAATAATCTCATCTTGGAAATTATGAAATGATTATGTTAAGCCTGTGGTAGTTAATACAATGTGAGTGGGCAGTCATGAGGCCTCTAGTAAAAAGGTTCCACTCAGATGCATTGTGGGACATGTAGGATCAGCATCTTTGGAGACTAAGGACTAAAAACAGGACAGCTCATCCCTGCTGTGATGTCCTATGAGTCCTATACCAACTCAGTGGAGTGAGGAGGTTCTTTTGGTGTAGGTCAGTAGAGTTAAAGAAATAAAACTGAACAATATATGGTTGTATCATCTGCAACTATTCTGTTTGTCATCAGTCAGTTCAGTTGTGAATCTGTTGGATTTGATGTTGTCAACAACAATATTAAATATGACAACATTGAAAATAGCTTTAATTGTAATCACACTACACAAAGCACATACACTTCAATCAAGTAGAACTAAATTCTATGAGAGAACAAGCCAATAAATCCACTCGGTCAAACTTCCTGTTTCTTGTGTAAAGTTTCCATAAAGTGCTCACACTCATGAGAGAGTTCCTGTCCCCGGTTTTCTGTTTGATTCACTGTTGTTCTTTTTGATGAGCTTTTCTCCAGACCCTTCCCACTGTACATGTGATTTTGTATGTCTGTGCAACACTAAATTAAAAAGGTAACAGGTAAGCATGGATATGTTTGTCCTTACTGCATGCTGCATTAATATACTGCTTGTATGACATGACATTTGTCACTGCCTAAAAATTGAATTTCCTTGCAGTCATCTTACTGATCAATGGTGAAAAATTACTGTAACAAGTCAAATACCAAATAATGTATAAGTTAATTCTAATGTATTCTAATGTATGTTCAATGTATGTTACTGCTACTGGATGCTTGAATTTCCTTCAGGATCAATAAAGTCATCTATGCATCTATCTACCAAATGCAATTAAAACAAGTGAAGAAAAACTACTGACAACTTTTTACAGGATGGCAAGTTAAAAAAGTTGATAAACTCTCATGAAAAAGGTTTTCAGCATTTTATTTATTCTGGATGGAAACAGCATTAACTCTGGCATGTATCTGCTAAGCGTTATGGGCAATAGCAAAAACAATAGCAGCAAGAAATATAGAATAATCAAAACATGTCCCATTACATGAAAGACGTACATTGATTTAAGTTGATAGATTACAGACTCAACAACAAACATATCATATAGTCAGATGCTGTCTATTTTCTCAATTATATGCAGCAAAACATCTTAAGTATAGATCTATGAGGCATTCGGTGCATACATAGTAAATCACAGTGAGCAGGGTCAGTCTGCTGTTATGTGGAAGCTGAAAAGAAAAAAACTTCTCTTAAAGGCTTTTCTGAGGGCTCATCTTTAGTTACTTGCACTTATAATTATCCCTGGGAAAAGGTTATAGTGTATCTAGATTTAAAATTCATACTAAGTACACCTCAGCAGTTGATACATACTGCCACCACCTGGTTCTCCTTTGTAAGTACAACACACATATATATAAATAGGCACTCCGTCATAAGACACATACTGTAAATAAATAGGCACAGTAACCCAACAAATATGCTGAGGGTTATTTTACGCCCAGATGGACGGATATATACAGATATACAGAAGAATAGAGAGATAGAGGGATAGATAAATGTTTTGCTGGGTAAAGTGGCCCAGTTTAAACTACTGTCCACGTGGAGCCCAAACCCATCAGGCACCAACTGGACATTAAGTACAAGGCCAGTAAAATGTATGAACTTTTGAACAGTCTTTGGTGTATATGATACATTCAGAGGAAACATTATGTTCTATTCACACCTCTACTATGACAGGCCTACTGTACAATACCTATAAAATAGGAATTTCTGACATTCATTCATCCAACATTGCTTATAGTGCGTTTTTGTCTTTGACCTCGGTCAGTAAAGCTAAAATGCAGAACACCAGGTTCCAGCTTCTCAGAGGAGATGCTTTGTCTAACATTGTTTAAATAAAGATTAGTGAACTTTTTTCCTACAGCAACTTTTAGACTTTTAAAGTGCACAAAATATAACATCAGGCATATGAGAGCATTATTCAGTTATCAGTGTTCTGCACCTGGTCACTGATATATCTGAAAGTTCTGATCTGTAGATCAGTGAAAATAAACCGTCTTTTTGATTATTTACTTTACAAAATGTCAGTTACTCGTATTATGATGATACAAAACACAAAAAGCATTTCCTTGTTCACAACTTTAAAAAAAAATTATAGATTATAAAGAAAATTGTTGATTAGTTGGAACTATTTTGTTTCGATCACTTTATTGCCAGAAATCTGCTGCTTCTCTGAATATTTCGAGGGTTGAACTGTCAAAATCACCTGGAGCTTTTAGGATGGACATTTTTCTCAAAACCAAATAAGGCACATTCAATCTCTATATTATCTCCATCTGCTCTGGTTTCCATTATCCATTAATAGGTCGAATGTAAAATTCAGACAAGCACAGCACCATTTCCAAGGGAGTGTATCCTAATTGCCTGTTCTGTCCTACCAACAGTCCAAATACAAAGATACTGAATTTACAATATTAAAGGACAAGCAGCAGTGATTGTGAGTTGAGGTTTAAGGTGTAATTCTGGAGTGAAGATATATTCTCTTTTTTATTTGAGTATTTGAATAATGTCTGCATAATATAATAATACAGCATTACCCAGGACCCTTTCACCCTTGAACCTGAACGTCCACACTGCTGCCTGTGTGTGTAATGGCTTCTTTCCTCTACAGCAGGACACTGATTTCATTACATCTTACTTTTTTACAGTTCTCACGTTGGTCTGAACAGTGAAACACTCGGTAAAGTTGACCCTCAGCAGCTGCTGTGGCCTTTGGAGAAATCCTGCCAAACCTGCAGCAGCTTTGGAGCCTTAAACCCGTTGACAATGATGAGTTTGGCGAAGGTGCACCTGTCGTACTCCAAGTCTCTGATTTCAAAGAGATTCCTGAGGGTGGGCAGGCTGAGGGCATACACAGGCCGGACCCCCAGCACACGCAGACATAACCCCACGTACACGTCCTCCATGGAGATCATGCGGACAAACCTGGATGCCCGGGAGATCTTGGCAGCCAGGTCTGCAGAGAGGACATACCCAGCTCCAGACACATACGGGGGGAATCTGTCTTCAGGGAACTGGTCCTCTGACACATGCCACTTACTGTTACTGTCCCTCCTCGGCCTGCCGTCCCTTATCAATGACCCTGTGATGAAGGCCTGACGCGGGCAGCTCCTCAGCCACCGGAGGAGGTGGAACACATTCACGAAGATGTCAGAGTCCACCTTCATGACGTAGGAGGCTCTGGGGCAGTGGGTCGCAACCCAGTTCATCATCATCACAGTCTTGATTGTCAGGTTCTGGTAGTTGTCCAGGAAGTTCATCTGGATGATGTCTGCATGTTCCCTGCTCTCCTCCTCCAGCTTGTCCTGGAGGCTGGACCCCTGCCCCCCCTCGGGGACCCCCATGTAGAAGACGGTGAGGGTGTCCTGACCTGGAGCTCCCCATGTTTTCCTGATGGCCTCCCTCGCTGCAGCGTCCTGCGGAGCTACTGGGACCATGAAGAGCAGGAGGGGGCCGGCGTCCCTGCACAGTGGCTGGTTGAGTATGTAGCGGTATGAGTTGGGGGACAGCAGCCTGTGCTCCTGCTCTGAGAGGGGTCTGGTCTTCACTGGCTCTTTAATCAGGACACTGACTAAGATCTGAGCCGACAGGACGAGCACGGCTGACACAGCGAGTAACGTCACTAACCTCCATGAATGACATGTCCTCATCGCCTCGACAGGAGAAGAGTCTGCTGGCGTCCCGTCGGAGCGACTCGACACGAGGAAACAACACAGGTGGCAATCCAGGAAGTCATGCTGCAGTGGGGGGAGGGGAGGACCGCCCATTCCCGACCGGAGGCTTTCACCAAGAAATGAGAGAGAGAGAGCGAGAGAGAGAGAGAGAGAGAGAGAGAGAGAGCGAGAGAGAGAGAGCGAGAGAGAGAGAGAGAGAGGGAGAGATGGAGAGAGAGAGCGAGAGAGAGAGAGGGAGAGAGAGAGAGAGAGAGAATATATAATAGACTATAATATATAAGAGAGTATAATATAGTTTTATTGATGTATGATGTATTACTTTGCTAAAATAATACATTGTTTTATATTATTTTATCTTTATATTATTTTATCTTTATATTATTTTATCATTATATTATAACGCTTAGGCGATATTGTAATACACAGTCATGCCAATAAAGCTTATTGAATTAAATTGAGAGAGCGAGAGAGAGAGAGAGCGAGCGAGAGAGAGAGACTATGGTCTTATTAACACTTGCTGTTGTTTTTTTCTCCTTATACATTCATGTCTTTAATTTGATTCCGTGATTGTCCTCAACATTTGTGCTTTGGCAACATAACGTCATGCCAATAAAGCTTTGTGTATTGAAAATGCAATAAAGAGGAAGTGTGTGTGTGTGTGTGTGTGTTCAGACTGTGCACGGTGTCTTAATTAATGACAGTTAACTAACTTATAACAAGTCTGAAACAGAAACTTACTTATAACAAGTCTGAAACAGAAACTTAGAACAAGTCTGAAACAGAAACTTAGAACAAGTCTGAAGCAGAGGGATGTCAATGATGATATCTTGTTTTATATTAGGACTATTATTATTGTGAATTTGGTTGGAACAGAAGCTATTTGTTAGTTTAGGATGATGATGTATCTCTTTAGTTGAAGATGGCCCAAAAAATAGTTACTGTGAGACATCCATGAAGTCATGAGGGATTCATTATTAACTACTCACTATGATCCAGTGGGATTATTAATATTGGTAGTCGTAGTAGTGGTATAACTAGCTTTATTAGTATATAGTATTCATATTCAGCACCTTAAGATTATGATTGTAACTCACAGAATAAGCAAACCCTATCTACACCATGGGGTGTGGTTGAAAGGCCAGTGGACCCTGAGTTGGGATGGTTTTATTTTAACGCAGCTTTATCTTCATCATGGACATAACATGAATAAAGCTCCTGCACATCTTCCTTTCAAACAAACTGTTTATTGTAATACAGCTTACAGAGAAACACTTGTTCACCCAGTTATAAACAAACAAAACAATAAAAACAGACTTAATTTACACAGGCATTCTTTAGAAGGTCAGTGGTTTAGTATCCTGCCATAGCAGGGGATGGGGGCAGGGGGCAGGGGGCAGGTGGGTGCTGGGGGGGGTAAAAACTGTAACTAGTTCTCTAGTTTTGGCCTGTTCAAACACAATTTTCATCAACATAAGCATAGAGATTTTACCATATCAACTGGAATTCAAATGGAGTTGGCCTTTTTTCACGTTTTGAGCATCAACATATTTTGTGTGAACAACACATAACATTCTCTTGTTGTACATATACAGTATGTACTGTATTCACATTTTGCAAAAACAAAAGAAAGAACAACGTAATCACCGCATTTCATTACATACTCAATAACAGGTCCTGCCTTCGGATTCAGAGAGAAACGAAACAAATCTGAAACACGTCTGCTTTTCTTTTTCTCCCTTCTTTACTTTTTAAAACACAACACTGTGGCTGTAGCATGATGAATGGATACATTGCCGTCCAGGTGGACATGGGATGTGGCCAGTAAAATACTTTGATATAGATTTTTTTTTCTCTTTACATTTGCATCTCTTATCACTTCAGACGTTGGCTTGTGTTGAGGGAGATGAGGGAACCAGGGGAGGATAAAGTGACACTGACACGAGTGAAGTCGCACAAAGACAAACAAATGGCAAGTTAGATGGAGATATCTGACATCTGAATATTGCCATCTGAGGAATATCCCTTTTTCGAATGTTTAAATCAGACGCATACATGTACAGGACTGTACGAGGAACAGAATGATAATCCGTCTGAGTTATCACTGTGTTATCAGTTTTAGCAAAGACCCCCTGAACCTAAACGAGACCACATTGTACCATAAACAGCCTGTTCTCTCTGTAAAACCCCAAACTTGGATGTGACATTGGTGAACCGTATAGAAAAAACTACCCGAGCTGCGCTCACGCCTACCCACAAATGCTGCAACATGAGAGAGAGGGCCAGAATCAGGTGAGGTGGAGTGGTTTCTGCTCTCTTTGGTGCGTGAGTTGAATCTGCGTGGGCTTGAATTTAATTCCAGTTTGTAACATGCACGTTGATTTCAGCATCGCCACGATTTCCACAGCCGGAGGTGTCGTAGAGTCACGGCTGATCACTGAGCAAATGGGAGGGAATATGGTTTCGTGCGGAGGCAGCAGGGCTCTTGGCAGTGCTTTGGTTGCTGCTGGGTGGATGGATGGGTGGATGTGTGTATTCAAGATGGGTTTTTTTTTTTTTGTTGGGGGGGGGGGAGTCCAGACAGAGAAGTAGCGATGTTGTTGTTAATGGTGGGTCATTTATGATCGTTTCCTCCTCCCCTCCAGGTTTCTGAAGTTGGAGGGCCTGATCTTCATATCGGCGAACTCGATCGAGTGCTCGTGGCCTTTCCAGTGGAACCAGTTCACACCCTGTGGAAGAGGAGACAAATCATGTGACGTTAATCATATGGAGAGAAGGAATCAAGTCATGTGGAGGTTGTTTTCTTATCACAGACTTATATTATAGCAAGAGCAGCTGTATTGCCAGACAAACACATTTAATTTGGACTATCTTGGAAGCCCCAGACTTTGTTCAGTGCATGTGGTCACTGTTGTGTGGTTAAGGTTACGGTAAATAATTTTTTTAATTGTCAATAAATTGGATTTATACTTGACACAAGGGTCCACCATAGATACCTTCAGCTGAGGTTTTGATTTATACTTCTGCTGTTGATAAAACAACCATGGGTTATGCAATTATCAATGGTGAAGGAAGTACTCGAATGTTTTACTTCAGTAAAATACAAACAAATAGACAAAAATTAACTCAAGAAAAAAGAGAAGTACCATGTTAACTTTTCTACTTGGGTAAAAGTAAATCAGTGCTTTGAAGCATACTCAAGTGAGTTTTAAAAGTAATAGTACTTGCTCAGTGTAGCCTATTCTCTATTCTAACATACAAATATATCATTATTATGTATATTTTGTTTAGTACCAGAAAAATGCAGACTACAGTACAGATATGTGTTGATATATGCATTGGAGTAAAAGTGAAAAGTACCTGTAAATAAATCTGCTTAAGTAAATTACCAATACATGAAAAATATTTCAGAATACAGTAACTAAAGTAAATGTACTTTGTGACATCCCACCACGGCTCAGAGTTACAGAATTACATCCGTGGTTTTCACTTGTGTGAGAAAAAGAAGATAACTGACTCTTCCTCACGCTGGCTTTTTCTCTTCACTACACCAGGGTATCATTTCTACAAAGGATGGGGGCGATGTGTCCCACTCACTACTACAGGCTGTTGTCTTCACCTAAGTTGAAGGTCAGTGTGTATGATTTAGTGGCATCTAGTGGTGAAGTTCCAACTAAGATATTCATCTCACACTGTGAAGCAGAACCTACAGTGGCCTTCAGGTGACAGTAACATGACAGTTCCTCTCCAGAGCCAGTTTTACTGTATCTACTCTAGATACATGTGCAACAATATATTCTAAGCTAATGAAAACACAGTCATTATTAATTTCCATTGATTGGCCACTAAAAATATAATTATGATTAATGTATATATAATTTGTGTTGATTGTTTTTTTTATTTTATTGAGTTGTGCGCTCCCTACTTCTGAACTAACTCTTGTCACGCTGGACAGTTTTAACAGGACACTGACATTAGGACACATTTTTAACCTTGGCGTGTCTTTCCAGTTTCTGAGGAGACGCCAGCTCAACACCAGCTGAGTCAGTGTCACAAAGGACAAGGTCAAGGACAAGGTGGTTTTGTGTTAGGAAGAGTCTGTAATTAAAAACATCAGGGGCAAACTGCTTCCTGCGCTGTAATGACCATTTGGCATTAGACAGAATTCCTAGAGATACTGAGCTGACCACAGAAACCCCCTCTGTACGATTTGTTTTGTTGGGAAACACAACTGAGGCCTCATCTGTTGGAGTGAAGGAGGACCCTCAGTGGCCCCCAGAAGGATCACTCTCTGTTGCAGAAGTTGCAGCAGCAGTGAACTGTACCTTGCTGTGACTGTTGTCTCCATATCGTCCCATGAGGTTGACACGGTGACAGTTTTTATACCAGAAGGCTCCCTTATAGGAGAGGGCACAGTTGGTGACGGCGATGTCGTTGTCATGGTCGTAGGTGGAGAACGGACGACCGTGGTGGTAGGTCATGGAGTCGCCTACAGGGAAACACGACAGAGAGAGAGTGAGAGAGAAGAGAGAGAGAGCATCAATGAAATGAACTGTGGTAGAGGATGAACACTGTAACAAACACATAGCATTTAGAAGAAACCTTTTCACTACCAGGTGCACACATAGACATCAAAGGGGGCTTGAGACCCTTCCCTTTTTTTTTCTGGAGAGAAAGTGCCCTTTTACCTGTTTAGTTTTTTTTAAATAAATGACTATTATACTCCTGTTTGTGCACAGATTCAAACAAATATATTGATTAAATAATATATTAACAATCTTAATATCAGGAGAATTAGACTTAGTCTCTACACTCCCTTCCTCCACGTCTCCTGCACAGTGGTGAGCACAGAGCTGTGGACATTTCTTGATTCTTAGATGTAGCTCGACGTGGACGTGGACTCTGCAACTCTGTCAGAGTCTGTTTCCTTCTCACCCCTCTGACCTGCACTCACTTTACACTTTAACAATAAACACCATCACTGATCACAAGTTATTAGGACACGTACAGGATTAATGTTTACTTTGTATTTGTTTGAGTCGCTCCAAAGTTTATGAGACACTTGTTTAAACTTGCTACACAACACGAGACGTGAGTCAGGACAGGAAGAAGCGACGCCCCGTTTATCAAGGAACATAGATATGAATTCATCAGGTTTTTATAAAGAGCAGTTCTAAGTGTGATGATTAGAAAACATCAGTGGAGCAGAGTAACTCGCTGACTAATGCGTCTCGAGTTGTGGATGTGATACAGAGATGCATTGTTGTGCATTCGAACCGTTGACTGCTGAATCATAATCAAATCATGAGGCTAGTGAAGGTGCACTAGTGAGCACAGTCATCACAGTCCTGTCAGACAGGCAGCGCCTCCCACCTCCTGTTCCTGTTGTATTGGTTTTTCTTTGTTAGTGTGGAGCTGCGTGATGACGAACAAATGACTAAGCTACCAGTGGATCCAGTTTACAGCTAGTTAGCCTCAAGACAGAAACAAATATAGTTCACTTGTGTCTTGCTAGTAAACAGACAGAGGGTGAAAGAAGAAGAAAAATGACAAATCTCTTCTCGAATGTGAGGGTATTAAAATTAATTGTTAAGCTAGGCACAGATGTGATACCATATTTCACTTTTGGTTTTAAAACATATTTTTTATAAATAATTATGATTATAATTATTTGTTAGCTGTATAAATAAAAATTGCCCTGAAAAAAAGTAAAAGTTGTCTTCAGGACTTGAACTAAAGCATTGTGTACATGTTTGGCTGCAGGAGTCGGTTTACCTGCTGTTCCACTGTATCCTCCTACGTGTACTTTGTAGCGGGTTCGAGGTTCAGACACAGAGAACTTGTCGTACTGAGCGTAGGCTGCTTCACCCTTGTCTCTCAGGTCTACCCGCAGCTCGTACTGACCTCCAGCTGTGATCTTATGTAGGTTGGACAGACCTGAGGGAAGGAGGAGATGAGATATATGATATAAATATAGATTGTGATATATAATATATCATGTCATTTTATCTTTGGATAACAAAATATATAGTATGTAATACTTTATGAGTATTTCTTGTGAATCCAATCAAACTAATTTCACAATTCAAATTATTATGACTAGAACATCTGCATTGACTACTGCATCTGCTGCAGTTGTTTCATATTTCACAGTCTGTTCATTTCACTCCTTTCCATCATTGATGCAGGAATTCAGCTCATTTCATCCTGAACAGCTACTATTGAATCAAACTTAATTATGGATACAAAAGTAGTTTTGTAATTGGCCACGTGGTGGCACTGTCACATCAGTTTCTGACTGTGGAGCGTTTAACTGCAGCACGCTGTCTGCCAAATTTCATTTCTGTCGTCCTGCAGTTTTTAAAGTTTTATGCTAAATTATTCATTAATTATGGGAGATTTCAACAAGCTGCTTAAGGGCTAATGTAGCTTAGTCATGCTATGAATTTTTAAAGTGGAATCGTCTTTCAAGCCATCACTGTGTGGGACTATTATCCATTTGGTAAAGCTATATGAGACTCAGACTGGTTTCAATCTGAACACTTGAGCCACATTTGGTTGCAACAGGATGAAGCAGAGTTATAGCAGTTTGTAATTATCTGACCACACGCTTGTTTGCTAATCATGGAAAGACGATTCATGAGATGTTGATTACATCATTTGGACAATCTTTTGTTGTCGTCCAAACATCGTATGCACCACGTTTGCTGAAGCTTAGTCTGTGAATGAGTGCAGCTTCTATCAGTCTATTCGGCATCATCGACTGAATCCAATGACTCCTCCTTTTTCTTCTACATTTCACAGTAGATCATTTATAAGCTATTTCTCTCCATGTGGTGGTATCACTAACAGTTCTGAGTGTGAAGCAGTGAGGGAAGCTGTTATCGTTTTTGGAGATATTTTTCAACACGTTTCACTAGTTTTGCTCATTCCTCATAGAGAACGATTAAAAAAAACTATTAAAAAATCATATGAAATCAACTGACAGATATGAGAGCACCAAAAGTCCTAGAACATGTCCCTTAAAACTGTGCAAGATTTTAGCTTCAGACTATGTTTCCAGTTGAGAGCATGTAGGACCAGCAGAGCATCAATAGAAGAAAACAGGAAAATAAAGAGAATAATCAATAGAACTTTTGAGCAATGAGTAAATCCACAGATCTGTGTTCATACATTTGTCAATGAATATATAATCAATCAAATACACATGTGAGTGCTGTCATTGTGTATAAATCACCTCTGTTACAAGCTGAACATACTGTTATATCACCATATCCTTATCTATTGTGGAACTGTGTGTTGTGATCGGATGTTTGATAGAAATTACCCAGCCAGAATTCATCGTTCATGTCTCCGAAGCCAGCGGTGTAATTCTTCCAGTTACGGAAAAACTCCAGTTTCCCGCTTTGACGTCTGAGGAAAATCTGCAAAGGAAACAACAATAACTGAGTAATAATGTCAGACTGTGTTTTATATAATCAGCTGATGAATTTATGATTCCCTGAGAGGTAATTGAAAAAACGTATTTACTTCATATCTGGCAAAAGATAAAAATGTTCTAAGACAAAAATAGAATAAAAATGAGAGTAGATTTCAACAACAGAGCCTGCAGGGGTCTGCGATCCTCCAAATTGTTGTGTGGCCACTACCAGCTGAGCATGTGTTCCTCAAAGCAGAGCAGAGAGAACAGGCCTGTGGTGTCCACAGCTGTCTGTCTGTGTATCGGACTTACAATCCATCCGCCTCCATCGGTGCTCATGTCGCAGTAGACCTGGAGGGGCTGGCTCTCATCTCCCGCCAGATAGATGGTGTACAGGCCGGATGAGGTGTCGCCATTCAGCAGAGCCTGGGAGCAGTCCCTGGGGTATCTGTACAGCACACCAGCTACACACACACACACAATATAATGATTGTGGACCCGACAGACATTCTCATAGATACTATCACTGTGAAGCTAATCTTCTTTTGTGGATTATTAAATAATCCAGTATTTATGACAAATTAAAATAGGTGTATATGTCTGTCACTACAGTTTATTGTTAAATCCGTTTGATATTTTGACACGACGAGGGATGAAACCTGTTCATGAATCTACTCACTGGTGGTGAAGACAGAGGAGATGACTCTGCTCCTCTTGGGACCAGCGATGGCCTGCAGCCTGACTGAATACTCTGTGGAGGCGCTGAGCTGAGCCATGTTGTATGACACAGCAGTGGGACTCAGGACCACCTCCTGATGGAAGAAACCTGTTCAGACATTTTCTTTATGACCAGTTAGACCAGAATCAGCGGAGTCCTGGTTTCCCACTCACCCGGATGATGCCGTCTGCGGACTCGTAGCTGAGGATGTATCCGGTGATGTCAGCGCGGGGCGGCTTCCAGGTCAGCATGCAGTTCTCTGTCTGGATGTTACTGGCTGCCAGATCCTGAGGAGCATCCACATCTACACACAAAACAACCCTTTAGAGAATCGCATACTGTATCATTTAAGTTTCATATCATACATTGATGGATATGTGATAAATGTCAGAAGATTCCTTTATAGTTTTTGACATGTGAAGTGTTGATTAATAAGAGTAAAGCAATAGAGCAC